GAGCCCACCTGCTTTTTAAAAAGTCAGCCAATCAGCCAAACCCTCCTAGTCCTCACCTTACAAACTCATCAGTCAAACAGCTACCTCACTTTAAGGACACATTTACAGACTCTCAAGAGAATGAGAATCGCTTTGTTTATTAAACAATTAAAATTTAAAACATTTGGTTATTTTTAATTGCCTGTATCTTGCCCACATCATTACAGCATCTATTCACCTCCAGCAGAATAATTAACTTTTCAATCATCACTTTGGTTATAACCGTAACACCCGTATGTCTAATAAGTTTTCTGAAGTTAGGGAAATTAAAGATTGGCTTTTATTAGTATACTAACATTTCACTAAAGTGCAGTGCGATGGAGAAGGATAATTTCTACTGGTGAAAAGTATAAATTATTCAGTATCATGAAAATAATTATACTTTATTACTTTCAAATAGAAAAATTATTAAAACTAGAATTACAGTTTGTCATCAACTGGATTATGAACTAGTCGCAGACTAGGCTAAGCCTTGTGACCTGCCATATGGTCCTTCACGCCTACATCCCAAATCTGATAACAGCTCTATCCCCATCCCTCATCAACGGGTACTTTGCGGATGCTAGTGGATCTGTTAACATACTGGATTCTTCCATTAGACTGAAAGCTCCCTGCAAGCAGGCCACTCCTTGCTCACCTTGTATCCCTAGTGCTGAGTACGGAGTGCTCAGTAAGAGCTGAATGAATTCATAAACACACGAAGAGAATGTCAGAAACAAGTAAGATTATGGATGTTCACTTAAAAATACCAACCATACGAGGCACCTGGGTGGCTCAGTCGTTAAGCGTCTGCCTTCGGCTCAGGTCATGATCCCAGGGTCCTGGGGTCGAGCCCCGCATCGGGCTCCCTGCTCAGTGGGGAGCCCGCTTCTCCCTGCGTGTGCTCTCTCATCTCTCTCTCACACTCTCTGACAAATAAATAATTAAAATCTTCACACAGACAAAAATACCAGCTATGAAAGTCCTACAGATGAAAAGTATTAATAATATCCTTAAATATATATGCATTGTAACTCCCACGTGCTCCCATATTCTAACAACCAGACGGAAGCCTTTATACACAGCAATACCCATCTGGCTCCGACCTCAAAGGGCCGGCAACCCCTTGCCCTTCCATTCCTACGACATTCCCAGCCAAAATGCAACTCTCTGAGATGAGGGTAGGTTCTACACGTTTAACTAGAAAAATCAAGCTCTAATTCCTACCCTGCCCTTGCTTGTCTTGGCTTGAATTCCACAATTTCCCTTTCCCCGGTAAGATTCAGGAAGTGGCCACGGGCCTTTGGAGGAGCAGGCAGGGCTGTAACCGGCCCACTCAGGCCGGCCGTTCAGTATGCTTGTTACCAGAGCTGCGTGGATGAAGGCGTCCTCCAGGGCTGCTCCGCTGGGGTGGGGGCGGGGGGGGGGCAGGCTAGGCAGGCAAAGCTCCCAGCCACGGTTTTAAATAAACCCAAAGCGATGCAGAGGGAAGAAACTAACATTTACTGAGCACTTACTATGTGCTGGGTAATTTCGTTTGAGCTCCACTGCATCTTGACCCCATAGAGAATAGTTATCTTATTTCAGGCAGCAAACTGAGGTTCCAAGAAGGGAAATCTCATAACCAACAAGAGTCAAGAGCCGTGACGTGACTCCAAAGGCATTCTGTTGTCCGTGCCATCGTCCATCACTAGAAATCGTCACTGCTCAATCTTCCATGGCCCCTCTCCTCTCCCGACTCCCATTGCAAACTTGCTCTCAGTGACTGACACTCGCAGATTAATGAACTCATCACCATTCCGTGTGAACGAACCTTTGTCAATTTGTTACTTTCTAACAATATTCGTTCATTAAAAAATCATTACCTGAGCGTCTTAATAGATGCCTGGTACAGGGCAAGGCGACCAGGCATTATCTCTATCATAACAGTCCTCCCAGACCGGCAGGGAGAAATACAGGAGCCCGTAATTAGGAATACTAAAAATGGTACCAGAGGGGCACCTGGGTGGCTCAGTCGTTAAGTGTCTGCCTTCGGCTCAGGTCATGATCCCAGGGTCCTGGGATCGAGCCCCGCATCGGGCTCCCTGATCCGCGGGAAGCCTGCTTCTCCCTCTCCCACTCCCCCCTGCTTGTGTTCCCTCTCTCGCTGTGTCTCTCTCTGTCAAATAAATAAATGAAATCTTAAAAAAAAAAAAATGGTACCACAGACGCTTGTCCTGGGAACAGTGTAGGGATCGAAGTCATGGGGAGAGGGAAAGAGGGACACCTGTTGCCTTCTTCATTGTCACTATTTGATGGTTCCTATGGCTGACATGTTTTCTGGTCATCCTGGAACAGATCCCAGTGCTTCTAACATTATGCATGCCTCTGGGGAAAAAAAAGGTTCAGATACCAAAACGCATCCTTCTTGTCCCATTTCCTCTTCAGTCCTTAGTGGAGACAGTCCTATTCCAGGACATAAGACAAACTGAAACTCATCAAATTTCTTTCCATTGTCCTTGAAGGACAATTTGACGTGAAATACATTTAGCCAAAAAAAAAAAAAAAAAAAAAAAAAACTCTGACTCTTAAAATCAATTCTATCCCTTGTCTTCTAAGATGTTCCTATCCTAGGCATAGTCAAAGAAAGATACTGTTCTACTGCAATTTCTTGTTCACCTAAAATGCTCTTGTGTTCTAGATGAAATGGAATGTGAGTGTTATTCCTACCCTGCTCGGTCTTTCTAATCCAATAATAACTCGACTACTGGCTCTCTAATGACGGTGGTTAGACAGGTTAATATCCCAGCATTAAGGTAAAATCCCTTCATTCATCTCTATGCATAATCTCAAGATCAGTCTTTCTGTCCAAGTTTCCATTCCCCTTGAGCAATTCAACATTTTCTTCTCCCAAATTCTTGCCTTTCAGAATCTAAACAGTGAAAACAATTGTCACAGTAATAAGCTGATTAGAGCACAATGCACACCACGGAGCAAAAATCATCATTATGAGCACATACACGGGCGCTGCTGAAAAGCGAAGTGAAAAAAAATGCACTGCACAAATACATAACTAAATGTTGTCAAAATGCACAAACCATCCCAGCTCCGGAAATGTATTTGAATGACATAATTCAAAGGAAGAAAAAAGTATGAAAATGCTTTCTTGCAAAATGATATGTGATACCAGAAAACCGAGAAGGTAGCTGGAGCCATGGCCAGGTAAATTACAGGCTATTAAAAATGACCATTACGACGTCTCAGTAACAGCATGAAAAATGCTTTGATACGTTCTTAAGTTAAAATAACATGATTGAATATGTAATAGGATTACAAATATGTCCCCCCAAAACTATGTTTGTCTAAGGACAGTGGAATCATGGGTACTGTTTTTAAATGTTGCTAGATGTTATAATATCGTCTTTACAATAAAATAGCTCAGAGGAAAATGGATGATGAGTCACTGCCTGACAACTGTCATTATGTAAGAAAGTCCCCTCTACAGTGACAATGACAGGCAGTTAAATGTGAGCACAGATGTCAGGTTCCCCTCCTTTATCCTGGTTTATTTATTAACGTTGACCTTTCCAGGAATTAAAAATTAATCGAATCAACAAATTACAGACAGATTTTACACAACTGCCAAGAGGTAATGAGCAAATACTGACGTGAAATTCTAGAGTGTGGCACAGACAGGAAAGCGAGGTGGGCAGGGCAGGAGGGGTCTTAGCTAACTGGGCCAGGTCCCTAATGTCAGCGTGGGACACCTTTGTGCCCTTGGCTTCTCAGTTGTCATCAGATGTTAGAGGAACTTGAAAATTCTCGCTTAAATTCAGAGAGCACCCAAGGTCCTGTGGCCCCTTGTAGGCCTTGCCTAGCACCCGGTCTCCGCTTGCTTGCTGTCCACACGGCTGGAGTCACAGGACAACCCCACAGATGCAGCCCTGCTTCCATCTCCACGGCCAGCCCTGGGTTGAGGTGGGGAGGTTCTTTGGGTTTTTTTGTGCGCATTGATTTGGCACACACAATTTTTCATTATTGCAGTAAAGATACATAACATAAAATGTATCATTCCAGCCATTTTTAAGTGTACAAGTCAGTGGCATCCAGCGCATTCACATCCTTGTGCGACCACCACCTCCATCTAGCTCCAGAACTTTCCATCACCCCAAACTGAAACTCAGGACCCATTAAACAACAACTCCCCATTCCCCCTCCTCCAGGCCCCGATGGCCACCAAGGGGTCTCACTAAGGGGAATCACACAATGTTTGTCCTTTTGTGACTGGTTTATTCCCCTTAGCATAACGTCCTTAAGGCTCATCCATGGTATAGCACGTGTCAGAATGTCCTCCCCTTTCAAGGCTGAGTAATATCCCATTGTGTGCGTGTACCGCAGGATGGAGAGCCTACCTCTCTTAGGGTTACTATCGGTTTCATCTTGTTATTGACCCAACCCTGGGCCCAAGGTCAATTCTGAGAAATGGGCTCCATCTCGTTCTTGGGCCTCATATTGGCTCACCCTTCATGTCTACTCCTTCTCTATAGTCCTTCATTTGGGAACCTCTCTGGGCTTCCAGTCCTCAGATTCTAAAGGACTCCTACTGTCTACTCCAGAACAGTGGCTTGGACCTGTTACCTACTGCTCACTGTCAGAGTTCCCACCTTGGGCTGTGTTCCGTTCACCAGTCAGGGTACCAGGAACTCATCACGGAGTCAAGATGGCAGCCACTTGCCTAAGCTGCATTGTTTTCACAACACCTTTGTCTACTCAGCCCAACCTGCCAGGTGGGTCCTTCTCTCTCTTCTTGTACAGGGGATAACATCATCTCAAGAGATGCTTGTGTCTACAGCAATCTCAGCATCCTGTCCACATTCCAATTTTCTTCCCTTCTGTTGCTTATCACCGGATACTTCTCTGCATCTTCCCTGTCTCCGTCCAAACCCTGTAACATTAGACCCAAGGCATGGAGTCTAGAAAAGCACAGGTCTACCCACACTTACAGCCAAAGTGAGTTCCTTCCTTGAGTGATGACACCAGTGAATTTGGTCAGACGTCTAGCATCCACTTCAATCCACTGATGGAGGTCATTCCTTCCTGCACACCACGCCCCATCGTAAAAGTCATTTTCATTAATACCTGCCTGGAAAGAAAGAGAGATGTTCTTCAGAAAGACCCAGAATCAATGAATATTTTCATGAGACTTGTGGGGGTTGGAGGGGGGGGTAGAAGAAAATGAGCACGGGACAGAGAAAAAAAAAAATCACTATGTCCTGAACACTCCGTTTCCTAAATCATAACATGGAGTGGCCTGTTATTAAAAAGTTGGAACTATTTCAGTATGATATGTCCTCTTCTTGCCCAGTGTTGAAGAGGAAATTTAATGAGCTCCCCTATTACTCATGCATCCAGCAGGCACAGACCGTCTCCTGCGTACCAGCCTACACATGCCAGGTGCTGGGGATACAAAGGTGAATCCTTCCCTCCCAGAACCTCACCATCCAGGCAGGAAGAAAGACATGAAAACAGATGAATTAGAAACACAATGGGGCCTGTGTTATTTCGGGAGCCAGAGCAAACTGCTACAGGAGCATTTAAGGATAATGGCTAACTTGGTCTGGGGGAGGCCAGGACAGAGGTGCTATCTGAGCTGGGTGTTGAAGGGCAGGTTTATCTAGTGAGGATTTATTTACGGGCGTTTAAGTCACCTGACGTGGTGAGTTTTGGCTACTACTGCTACCAAAGATTCTTCTGATCTGAACTTGCAAGGCATGTGGCATTTCTGCTCTGGAATTTTCCCTATATTATCACCATTTCAAGAGAGAATTCCAAGGAAGGATGAGATAAAAGGGGAAAAAAAGGATATTGGAACTAAGTGAAGCTTCCTAATTCACTAAGACCCTTTCTACATGAACCCGTGGCTATTCCCATAGCTATTTCACAAAGACAGAATCAGAAAAAGAGTCTAAGTGATGTTTGAAAGACAGGCCAGCCCACCTTTCCTCCCTCTGAGCACCTTTCAGCTCAAATTCTGGGGCAGCCTTACTTCTAATGGGCATCGGTGCTGTGAAACTCACAGTCCAGCTACAGCAGATGAACAACATGGCCAAGGCTTCCATGAGTGGGGCCCTACCATCTCGGCGCCAGCTGACATCAGCCTTATATCAGGACCAAACCATAATACATGCACTCCCACCCTGTCCTCAAACAATCTGGAAAGAGCTTTGAGGGAAATGTCAGAACACTCACATATGACGGTCTCCTGAAAGCGCTACCATCTCAGGTGAAGGTGACGGGAAACACCCATTAGTCAACATTCTCCAGAAACTCAAGCTCTCAATTAACCAGTCCCTTGGGATCTCATGGCATACGGGGCGTCTGTGATCGGGACCTGGGAGTGCTACAAGGTTCTGCCTTCTAGAACCGTCAAAGAAAGGCTAAATTATGCAAGTGTGTCTTACCGGTATTCACCCATGCTTGGGTGGGCTTTGTTAAAGTGAGGGTGACTCTCTGACACCCAAGCTCTCATTTCCCAAAACTGCCCGCCAACAAGGAGACCACTGCCCCAGGCTGGAGGCTACTGGCACGGTCCCTGCACTTCCTCACCAAAGGCAGGGATCCTCCCAGTGACAGACACCTGTACAGCACATCAATACCACCACTGAGCTTCCTTTGAGAAACCGTAACACTTAGTTTTTGCTGGGCTCCTCTTTTCGCGTAAACAACCCGTGAGACTGGTGTTTACTTCTTTTATTAAAATTAACCTTCACCGTGCCTCTATGATCTGCCAGGTACTGGCCCGGCTAAGAGGAATGGAAAGGTGGAAAACGTGTGCAGTCCTTCCTGCCCTCTTGGTGCTCAGAATGGACGGACTAAAGTCTACACGCGCAGCTTGTGTTTTGGTCTCGGCACCTTAAAAATCAACCACCGCACAAAGTGCTGGTTAAGAGCTTATGCTCTGAAGTCCTCCTGCCTCGGTGTGAATCCCAGTCAGCCACTTCCACCCTGTATAAACTCAAGCAATTTGCCTAAACGCTCTGGGCCTCAGTTTCCCCATCTGCCAAAATGGGGGCAACGCTCATTTCTCCCTTAGGGTATTGACGGTGTTTACAACAGGACCCGGCACCCTGTGTGGGCTCAAAAAAAAAAAAAAAAAAAAAAGCGAGCACTTAACAAATGTTAGTTATCCGTATATTTAAAACGATGACTATCTGGCATATTATGGAAATATGGGTGCTTTATGAATTATCCCACATTCTACAAAATTATAAGGAATTACAATACCATTCCGGGCCCTTGCGGCCACATTTTCTACAACTTCAAATATCCAGAACAGAGTTACAAAATCTGAAAAAAGAGGAGACTCCTAGTCTAAAGTTTTCAATAGGAATCCATGTTGTCCCCCGGGGGATAGGTGGCAAAGTCTGCAGACATTTTTGGCTGTCCCAGCTGGCGCACATGTGCCACTGACAACGGATGGACAGAGACCAGGGATGCTGCTCACCATTCTGCAACGCACAGGACAATACCACCACACCACAAAGCAGTGTCTCCTCCAAAGTGTCAGCCGTGCCAAGATTGAGAATACCCGGTTGCGGGCTGAGAAGACGAGAACAGAGCTGCCACAGAGCCTGGGATTTTCACCCCGAGAGAATCACAGAATGTGGAGGAGTTATCCCCATGCTATTCCACCAAAGTCTACTTGACTCCGACTTGGAATTAAATTTGGGGCTCCGGGTTTTGGGCCAGCCTGGGTATTTTGCTTCTGCTGCTGATCTCAGCTCTTCCTGAGCACACTAGACCTTCAATTAAATGCAGTAAGGTGTCAGGAGATTGGAAGGCCCCTTCCAAAGCTGACTCACAGGGAAGTGACAGCTACCTCTGCAAGATCAATTATGAATTTATAAAGCAAGCGCCTGGAAGGATTCAGCAAAAGAGGAGGGGCCAGTCCCAGAGGTGTCACCAAATTTCAGCAGAGAGCAATCCGTGATGTCAGTAGGACGTCTGGGAGACCAAGAGAAGGGTACACTCATCCCTTTCTGTTCAAAAATGCAGGACAGACTTCATAAATGTTGGAGAAATTTCTATCAGAAGTTGTTGGAATAAAAAGTGGGATTCCTTGGAGTATAAGCTAGTCTTGAAAACACCACTAAGATGGAATGAATGATAATTTGTACACCGAAGGGCTCCGTAAATTAAGAATTAATATAGGGGCGCCTGGGTGGCTCAGTCGTTGAGCGGCTGCCTTTGGCTCAGGTCATGATCCCAGGGTCCTGGGATCGAGCATCGCCATCGGGCTCCCTGCTCCACGGGAAGCCTGCTTCTCCCTCTCCCACTCCCCCTGCTTGTGTTCCCTCTCTCGCTGTGTCTCTCTCTGTCAAATAAATAAATAAAATCTTAAATATATATATATATATAATTTTCTCTAGGCAATTAAGTCATACTCATCATTTCTTTACCTTAAAAAAAAAAACACCAATGCATCTAACAGACTAAATTTTGCTTAAGATAAATGTGGAAATTATTAAATCCAAAACAAAGAGAAAACGTGATACTATCCACTTAAGATCAAATGGGACTTTTCTGAGGCACCTGGGTGGCTCAGTTGGTTAAGCGTCTGACTCTTGATTTCAGCTTGGGTTGTGATGTCAGGGTGGTGAGATCGAGCCCAGGCTGAGTGTGAAGCCTGCTTAAGGTTCTCTCTTTCCCTCTGCTTCTCCCCCCGAATCTCTCTCTCTCTCTAAAACAAAACAAAAAACAACTGAGATTTTTCTGTTTCAAGATGATAGAGTAAATGTTGATTTCTCTGCACTCTATTCTCAAAAACTCCCCCCAAAGGAAACAAGATAAGGAAATACGATCCGACAAAATTTTGTCAGATCTCTGACAAAACTGGGAGACATTTATAATCTCCAAATTACAATATATGAAGACAGAAATCAGATGGAGGAGTCCCGAATGACTCAGCAAGAGAAGGAGATGCAAGCTTACAAGGGGAACACCAGTGAGAAGCAAGTCACCCAGGGCTTTAAAAAGCTCTGAAACTAAACTCCTAGGCAGCTTGGAAGGCGAGGCAGGGCTGAAAACAGGGAACTGATTCAAAACGTATAAAAAAAAAAAAAAAAAGATTCCCACAGAGCTCTGCCTACAGATCTCCCTACCCCACAGAAGACCTGAAATTTTTCTCTTTAAAAAACCAAACAATTCTAGAGGCTCTGGATTTGGGGGCTCCAGACACAGGAGGGCAGGTGTGATATGATGGATAAAAACAGAGAACTCAGTCAGTGGAAAGCAGCAGGCTGAAGAGTGAGACACCCCAGCTCACCTCCTCCTTCCAGCTCCAGGACACAAGGTAGCCAGGCTTCCAACAAACGGAAATTAAATAAACTAAAAATATAATGGGGAACAGAAGAAAATCTCAAAGAAATTATAATGACGATCCCTTGAAGAAGCAGCTCTTGCTTGCATAAAACGAAAGGGTATTCTTAGAAAGGAAAAAGGAGCTCTTGTAATGTGAAAATTACAATAACAATGGGCAATCAAAGAAAAATAAGAAGAGTGGGGGAGGAAATTATTAAAACAAAATTACTATAAGTGAATAATGTCCCAGATCTGTAAGGTTTAAGTCTGCAAAACACTAAGAATCCACTATGATGAATAAGACCCACACCCAAATGTATCTTTATAAAACTTCAAAACATCACACATGAAGAGAAGATTCTAGAAGCTTCCAGAGAGGAAACAAATATGTAATACCAAGCCAAAGGAATCCACATAGTACCAGAAGTCCTAGTAGCAACATCTGAAGCTCAAAGAATGGAGGGATAATGACTTCAAAATTCTGAAGGAAAAGACTTTTCACCCATGAATTTTACACTCGGCCAAACTGTCCATTGCGATGGTAAAATACATTTTCGGATTCACAGATCCCCCCCAAAATTTCTCATTCCCCAATTCCATAAAGCTGTAAGACGAATGCGCTCCACAAAAATGAGGCAGAACACCAAAAAGAAGGTACAAGATCCAGAAATCAAGGGTGCCGACATAGGAGAGAATTCCCAGAATGAGGGAGGAGATAGTCCCAGGAGAGCAGCTGTATAAAGATCTGGAAAGCAAGCCATTCACAACACAGCAGGTCAAGGG